CAGACAAAAACAAAAACAAACAAGTACAAATCTTTCAAAAGTTATTTACACAAAATAATAATATATACAACTCAATTGTGTTTATTTTTCAAAACTGGTTATCACACACCAATTGTTTTTCTTGAATCTGCACTAAGCTGCCTCAATGGAACCAATCCCTACAATTTAATATTTGGATTCAATTTTCATAAAGCATTACTATTCATTCTAAAATCATTAATATTTTATTATAATGGACCCCATGGCACAAATATGGCAGAGGGGTGTCAGTAGTTCAAAACACAATACAATAAGTCTTTGGATTATATCACAAATATGTAATAAGCAACAGGTAATACTTTAATTAATTCCCAGTTGCTTAGTTCTGTCTCCTTCATCTGCTTGAGACATTCATGGTTAATGCTTCCACCACAGAACTCATTGTGCAGCAGGAAATGTAGATGAGGCCTCCCTATGCTCATAAAAATATAGCCCAGCCCTGACCCTGTAGCTCTGTCTGAGGAGCCCAGCCAGAGGTTGGGCTTTCCACTCAGAGTTCAAATCTGAACTCAGAATATTCTCCCTGAGCTTCCTTGTGAGAGGAGATTTCCTTGTTGATTTTAACTTGGATTGGTAGTAAAATAAGATTGTATTAAAAATAAAAAATTAAATTAAGTTATTTTTTAAAGAAAAGGTTTTTTGATATTTTCTATCTAATTGCTGTACCCATCAATATCCCCACTCAAATGCCTTTCATATCCATCCCTTCCTCCTTCTCAAATTCATGGCTGCTTCATCTTTAATTAATATTTTTCATGTGCATATTTTTCTATGTGTATTTAATCTACTAAGCCCAATTTTCATTGTGTATATGTACATATGTTTAGGCGGTCCACTTGGGATTGAATAATTTATCAGAGAGAGTGTCCTTACAGAAAGCTGATTCTCTCACTTTTACCTGGCACTTATTACCTAAAGCTTTTCATTTAGGGTTTGGGACCTGTGATGTTTCCCCCTCTATAACTGATATCCAGTTCAAGCAGCCATATTGTTGAGATTTCATGGGTCCAGCATCCCTGCCCTGTCTAGAAGATCACATTGCATGGTGGCATCCTGGTCCTCTACATCTTACACTCTTTCTGTACACTCTTCCAGGATTGTCCCTGGGCCTTAGGTGTAGGGTTTGATTGAATATGCATCCAGTGTGGTTGGTCATTCCAGGGTCACTTATTTTCTGCATATTTATCTCTTGTGGATCTCTGTAATACTCTATGTCTACAGTTTTGATGGGGGTTGGAGGTTATAAGGATATATATTTTTTTTAGGTTAGAGTTAGAAATTCTATTTGTGTCTCACAGGTGTTATCTCAGTATAAGTCAAAGTGTTTGTTGCCAGGTTGGTGTTTATGTTTCTGATTTTGTACCATGTGGAGATCTTTTGTAGGACTAACCAACCAAAATGATTGCATTTCAGGTTGACTCTGTAAGATTGAACCTGTATCCAATAATTTTAATTGGAGGATTTTTGATAAATTCTTTTTTGATATATGACTGCATTTTATGTGAGATTTTTGATGATTTACATACACATTTATATGTGATGTATATGTAAATGTATCCAAGAGCCTGAGAATACATAGTCCAGGGATCTAAGAGAAAACCAACACTTCCTATCGGCTAAAGGATCAAAGCAATAAAATGAATCCTAATGACTCTACCATGTTCCTACATCGATCAATGACTTCCTCAGCCAGAGAAGCTCCCTCCTTCAGCAGACAGGAACAAATGCAGAGACCCACAACTGTAATAAATGCAGAGTAAGTGGCCTTGGAACACTCAGTCCTGAATGGAATATCTCCATCAGATCCCTCCCTGCAGGGATCAGGGAATCCTGCATTTGAGGCAGAAAGATTGTGAGAGACACCGAATGGAAGGCCCCAAGGACCCTGGGCTTTCTAAACAAATAAGGACTGAGACATATGAACACACATGGAGACTGTGGCATCCTGCACAGGGACAGATGGGACCCTAGGGCTGAGAGGGACAGTGCACATGAGCCCCCATCCCTAACCAGATGTCATCTCCAGTTGACTGGTAACCACTTGCAAAGGAAAAGTAACTTCTTTCCTAACAGTGTATAGTTGGTAACACAGACAATGTTATGGACGGGCTCTGTGTCCAGCAGTAGATGGTCATCAAAAAACAAACTCATTGGTACTTTTGGAGATTGTTTATTTGATAATGTTTTGTCAAGAAGCAGACCAAAATAAAAGCCCCTTGCATTGCTAACAACAAAATCCTCATGGCCTATATGTTAATATGTAGAATAATGAAAATTTAAAGTCATTTTCTATAACTTCTGACTTTTAAACCATAATTTTTTTAAAACTGAAGCTACAAAGCTTATAGAAATATGACTTAATCATTTGGACCATGGCACATGCAATTCTTTACTAACATTGTCTTATTGACTCTATGTTAGAGTGGCCATTCGGGATAGAAGCCATGGAGTTTTGCATTGGATATTATAATTTCTACATAAAATGCCCTGAATCACAAAATAAATAAAAATTCCATCACCCAATGCGAATTAGATTCACCTCCTGTTGAGCTGACACCTGAACTTCACTTGCCACCTGCTGCTCCTCTGGCAGGGCCACCTGCAGACACAGAAGTCAAAGCTCAGCTCTCCTTGAAGTTCAGCTTCTCAGTCACTCCCCATTTCTAGAGACAGATAGGTGACTGTTCACTAAAAGAAGAACTGAATTAGATGATGAGGACACAAGAAATACACACACTGTCTGGAGAAGAGTGATGCATGTGATTAGCTGAACACTGGAATTCAGACATGTCACATGACCTCCATAAGAAAGAGAGTTCCCAACCTCAGAAAGCAGCTGAACACATAGCTATAGCTATACAGGGAGTTTTATATTCATCAGGGATTCACTCCTCACAGTAGTGCTAACACCTATAGAAATGAGCATGGCAAAGCAATGTCACTGAGGTTTGTAATCACAGACAGGGAGAATTGAGTTGAAATGAACATGAAAATGAGTGTTTTGTTTGCAATAGGGATAATAGGGGATGATTGGAAAATGATGCAATTTAATATCATCTTCCCCAGCATTAACATCAAGATCTGATTCCTCCAGCACATTAAC